CATTTTTGTTCATGTCGATCTAATAATTCACCATATCGGTCTGCTTCAAAAGCTTTCAACTTTACTTGTAGGATATTTTCCCAGCTACAACTTTGCTCAAGACCACTTTTTGATTAAATGCAAGGATCGAAATTTATTAATGGTTCAATGCACTGATGTCCTATGATAATGCTCAATCAATTGCTCAGCAGGCAACATTGGTGTTTCTGGGGCGTTAATAGGAGACAAAAATTATGGCTACTATGTCACACTGCAAAATAAAGTGTTGCCTACAGAGCAGCTGCTTGATCATGTCATAAGTTTACCAATCTCCTTAATAATTAATAACTTTTTCCTGTCTCGTTTTACATAGAAACAATCTTCAGCAAAGTTGTAGCTGAGAAAATTTTCTATAAGAATGGTTATCAAACTATTTCGCAGCTCAATATGGAAATAGAATAAAAGGCAATGAACAAAAAGTTGAGATTTCCCATAGTAATTAACATGTAAACTTCAAATGGCTTGTGCGAAGTCTGTTTCTAACCAAATGAGTTGTAACTTTGGGAGGCTAATCATGATCCGATTTGAAACCATTTAAGCACTGTGGAGCGAAAAAGTCAAATTTTGCATCAGTCTAATAACCATAGAGGTAACTCTAAGACCACTGGGTCCCGAAGAAAATCATTATTATTTTTGGCTCACTCAGTACCAGAACAACGGTCCCAAGCAGTCCCAAGCTATTTCACTCACCCCTGCATGTTCTGCATGAATCCACACACCCCTGATGTTATCTGTCAAACTTTCATAGCGAATCAAAACAAACATAGTGTAGTAATAGAATTTCAACTAGAATAGGGTACGTTAATCGTTTGCTTGGGACCAAAAGGCTACTAAAGTGGTGAGCCAATTTAAAATCGTTAGTTTCGTATTGATTGTTGCTATAACTTAAAACTAATGATGGAGCTACTGAAAAAAAATAATGCAGGGGAAATGTTGGCTTCGGCAGTACCTTAACCTATTATCGTCAGGGGGTGAACAAAGTCCTAGAGCACTCAAATTTGGCCAATAGTTGCTCTGAAACATAATGTATCCACATGCCAAAATTGGGACGTTGTTTACCCCCCTGACGATAATAGGTTAAGGTCACAGCCGAAGCCAACTTTTCCCCTATTTTTTGGCAAATGTTTTATCCCACAACATTCATGGCGTTTTTGTGTACTATACTGAGGTGCAAATCAACAAAAAATGTGTGACGAAATATTGTCAGTTCCTATTATAGTCGATGTCGATGTCAAATTTAGTGTACACAGCAAAATAACTCAACATAGAGATTGCAGACGTTTATTGTACGCACACTACGTCACGTATACGTATACGCACAATGTTTTCATCGGAAAAAAATTCATAGCGGAAAATTTTCCCGATGAATACAAATCACTGACACAATCATACTTTAGCAATCTCTATTGATCAACCCAAGGTAGTTATGTAAGGGATTTTCTGTCAATTCTTAACCATTACACACTAAGATTATTTTACCGAAATCTGTGAAATTTCACCGAAATCTCAACAGCTGAACATTCGGTAAACAGTTCGGTGATTTTTCACAGATTTCCTGTATTTTTTCCTAGTTATTCAGTGAAAAATTACAGGAAATCTGTGTAAAATCACCGAACTGTTTACCAAACGTTCAGCTGTTTAGATTTCGGTAAAATTTCACAGATTTCGGTGAAATAATCTTAGTGTGTACTTTAATTTAAATACATTATCTTATGCGTAAGATGAACCGTGGTCTGATTATGCTAACATGAATTGTCACGAGTTTTGAATCATAACCGAAACATTGAAATACTGTAACATTGTAGACGAAATACGCAACAATTGAAATAGGCGGAACAACCAAACGTAAACAATGGCTTTAAACGCAAATTCCTCGAGACTCAAAGCGCATCCAAGAAATCTAACACCATCATCTGATAGAGCAAACTTCCTTTATCGAATGGCTTTGTTAGTTTACGTGGGAGTGTTTTAATTCTCGAGAATTTTGTGTTTAAAGCCATTGTTTACGTTTGGTTGTTCCGCCTATTTAAATTGTTGGTCTATAAATGATCTTTATTTCTTGTATTTGTATGGTTCTTATACATTTCTCGATTGCATTTTCGAGGGGACGTTTCTGCTTTTGTGGGCAGTGCAGACTGCAGACTGTTTTACCCTTGAAAAGGCCACAATAAACGGCCGAAACGTCGGGCAATGCAAAACTAACTGTTTGAATTACCCTAGACTGAGAAAGCCATAAAAACGAAATCTCCATAAAACCAGTCGAACAACCAAATCTACATAATAACATTAGGACTTATGTTCTATGACTTCGTAGGGTTCTGAAATATATTTTTAATTCTGTTGAGTTCATATTTAGGTCAATCATTTCACAATGATGATTATAAACAGTCATCATCTGATTTACCGGTCCAAATTTAGCGAAATTGGTCCGATGGCGATCTACTGCGAACAACTGTCGATTGCGTAATTGTCGGGAAGGTGCATACAAATTTAACCTTGACCATAGATCAGCTGAGTCAATGCGTTGCGAAATGATATTGTTTAATAAAGAAATCTTTGCGTAATCCCGACGTTCTTTCAATGTTTGAATGCTGATCAGCAAACAACGTGCTTCATATGACGGGAGAGGAAAAGCCGTCCAACCTAACTTACGTAGTGCATATAATAAAAATTGCTTTTGGATTGACTCTATTCGTTCTTCATGCCTTTTCATATAGGGTGACCAAACAACGCTACAATATTCTAAAATTGACCTCACATAAGCAACGTAAAGTGATTTAATTGTATAAGGATCTTCAAAGTGGAGACCGAAACGTTTTATAAAATTAAGCATATTGTCTGCTCTATGTATTATTGTGTTATAATGGTCCACAAATGTCAATTTAGAATAACACCTAAATCTCTTACATTTTCACATTTTTGAACATTTTCATTAGCTAATGTAATACAAAGATTTTGTTTGTTTAGTTTTCTACTGTACGTTATAAGATTACATTTTTTGATATTCATATCGTTATCGCATCCCCGGGGAACCCCTGACGTAACATGAATTGGCTTAGATGTTTTCTCGTTGAATCTTACAATTTGCTGGCAATCAACTAAATACGATTTAATCCAGGTGAGGAGCTCCATCTCAATTCCCATTTTTTTACCTCTGTCCATTGAATTTAATACAAAGTCCACAAATTCCAAAAGGTTTGTGGTGGTTGAACGGCCTTTAAAAAAGCCGTGTTGTGCACTAGTTATTCTTTGTTTTATTTGGCCAACAATGTTTTAATTTATAATTGATTCGAAGAGTTTTGGAATGCACGAAATGATAGCAATCCCACGATAGTTTCGAATACATGGGTATTAAGTAAGATTTATACCGGATTCAAGCGACATATTAAACAGCCAGAATAAAGGGGTTGTGAGTTCAGTTGCTTAGTTTTTCATAAAAATAGGTGGGATTCCATCTGATCCTGAACCTTTAGTGGCGTCCAAATCTCGTAGGCCATTCCAAATATCATGAAGCGAAATGTTATTTACGCCAACAGTAATTGAAAAGTCAGGAAAATAAGAAAAATATTCATAATCACGATCACTATCTGAAAATTTCGTGTATGTTTCTTGAAAAAAAGTGGCGAAAAGATTACATATATCATCAGAATTATTAATCAAATTTTGTTGCGCGTATGAAAACGATTAAAATTCTGACATTATACCACAATTTCCGTAGAATGTGTTTCAGATGAAACTTTTGTTTGTTCGTCAGAGCTTATAATATTATTAAAAATATTGGATTCATTACCAGTCACATCCGGTTCGTCACAGTCTGCCTCAGAAAAGTGCGTCAGGTCCATCTCCTGCGAAACGTCGTGATCCTCGTCAATTTCATTCTCAGCCGCATCCGGTACGTCACAGACTACTTTTGAAGAGAGCATCAGGTTAAGCAGAAACACATTTTCTTCCTCCAAAGGGTGCGTCAATTGCGTTGAAAACACGAGTGTCTGCATGAGCACGCCTCATACGATGAAGCTGAAAATGACCGGTTGGTTGGATGTGCTGTTATAGGAGGTGGAAATTCAGCACTCGTCGGGTACGGGTTCAATATCTCTCCCCTTCGAAACAGAACTGTAGGTCAATAGTAAACCGGCGGTCACGAAAACTGATCTTTCGCTGCCGCAAGAAGTACTCTGTCAAGCGGAAGCAAGTGGTTGCCATTTTTTCTGCTTACTATGTGATTACCCTGAGCGCTGATGTTGTTATTGTTGCAGTTATTGTTGTAGTTGTTATAGTTATTGGAGATGTCTCTATTGTAGTTGGCGTGATTGGTGTTGCAGTTGTAGTCGTCGTTGTTTCTGTTGTAGTTGTCGTGGTTGATTTTGTTGTTGCTGTTGTTGTTTCTGCTACGATTGTGTGAGTTGTTGTTTTTGTTGAACATTTTTTGGTAGGCCCTTTTCTGCTTCCTCCGCTTACTAGCCTTTGCAGCCAATTTTTGCTGGCTCAGATGTCGCGATTTTCGAGCATCGTACTCCGTCCAATCAGCTTTCCACACCTTCCTGTCGCCCAAAACCCTCCAACCGGAGTCGGCGGCATCATTGTTATTTCGGTTGTTTTTGTTGTTCAATTCGCCCATTAGGCTGGGCGGGGACGGCAAACGTGCGTCCATAGTATTAATTACAGAGGCAAGGCATTTAATTTCATTTAAAATGTCCCCACCAACTGCGTCGGCAAGTTATCTTGAAGTTATAGTTTCTGTCTTTCTAGATTTTCTAGACATGAAAGGAAATCGAAGATGCTTGGTCCAACCCTTCACGGACTAGCCTATCGGAGGCCCCACATTTCATATATTGATAGTGATATTCGTCCTATGACATTGAGAACCTTCATGTATACTATACTAAAACATTTTATTGAGTACATCATCGTGGCAGTCCATGCCACCAGCAACTGTTCCATTTCCAGTTGTTCATTCTGTAAAAACAACTCAGTTGAGTTGCTAAAATTTCCGTAATATATTCACATTATATTATATTTAAATTGCATCATTACTATTGAACCGAAGATCAATTTTGGTTAGTCAAAGTAAATCTAAGTAAAACTTTGAGTATCCAGAATTAGTCCCTAGTTCTCTATCATTACATTCCGATATTTATGTCTACTTCTTCCTAGTTGCTAACATTATACAGAAATAGATGTGTTCTCGCATTGTGTGATTAGAACTAATCGTTTCAACTATTGACCGTGTACGTAACGGATCTACCCGCGATTAGAAGATAATGGCTGACTAAAACTTACAATTGAGTAACATAACAAATGTATAAAACCATATTTTACACACGTTCAACCGAAAATTCGTAGATCCGAGTGAAGGTTGAACTTTGCTGTCCTTTAAGGTTAAAAAAAAATCTAGATTTTCTTACATCATTCTTACGGTTTAACATTCACCTACAAAACTGTGCATATGTTTCGTTGTTGTGACTTCAGCTCCCTGATTTGTGTGTGGAACAGAGTGGAGGAGGAGTTAGAGCTTTTAAAAAATAATAAATTAAGAGTCAAATGAAATCGTCTGTTTTTTTTTTTTTTTGCTCAACTGAAGGGTGGGAAAAACAAACAAACAAACAAAAAATGATTCATAATTAAGTGTGGAAGAAATAAAAATTACTGTTATCTGGCTTGCGGTACGGTGGTTGTTTACTTTCTTTCGCTTCCATTTAGCTGGCATTGCATGTCCGCATTATGATCATCGGCAGATGCACTTGCAGCGAGTCAAAGTCACGCAAGTGCCCTTCTACCACCCGACATCGTGCGTTTCTGCTTACTTCTTATCCTTGTTGTAATCAACAAACACCCTCACCACCTCGCCGGAGTACTTTCGCTGCGTTGGGGTGAAGTACAGATCCGACGATTCGGGCATGCGGTGGCCACTACTGCCGTTTCCCCCACCGTTGTTCTGATGGAGGTTGGCCTGTTGGTAGTGCATTCCGTTGCCATTGGTCACCGAACTGGCGGCGTAGTGAGCAGCACCCCCATTGCCGGAGGATGGGTTCTGGCTGGACCTGGATTTGCTTCGACGGTCCTGGGTGTAGTACTCGGAACCACTGGGTCGTTGCATTTGCGGCTGATGGTGTTGCTGCTGCTGCTGTTGTTGTTGCTGCTGCTGTTGTTGCTGTTGGTGCATCGGGCGGGGTAACGAGTAGGCTCGCTCGGCGTACGAGGACCGTTCACCGCCGCTACGGTCGTGTGCTGCGCGGGGGTGCATTGAACCATTTCTGCGGGAAAAGAAGAGGCGAAAAGAGTTTGGATAAGTGATTCGGTTGGATTTATTAGTTTCACCTCTTGTGCCGTAGTATCTCATTTTAATAGGGTAAATTGGCCTTTTATGGAACCGTTTAGCCATTAACGTCAAACCTATGGTCTTTCTATTATAGCTTTATACCCTGGACAGACTATGGCTTATATCATGTAATATAAGCTATCTTGCAATGAGCACTCATACATCTAGTTTTCACTGGAAATCCTATGGGTATTAGCAATGCTTTTCTAAGTGCAGCTAAGGTTATATTGAGCGAAGTATGACTTGCGACTTGCCACTTATTATTTATCATCTGCGGTGCGGAGTCACTTGAAATGGTTGTCAAACAAAAATTCAACGATCATGGCCATCACCAAGGCTTACGTCAGATTCTATCGAAAGATAAAGTATTAGGGTAATCCCTCAAAACTTAATTGTAAACTAATAAAACAATGTATCTCAATGGTTGTCCAGATTTATCCATACCTTAAACTTCGACCTAAATAAACGTGTCGTAGGGAAAGCAGCAAAAGCATATTCGACCCGATCAGTTTTTTACTTGATAACAATTTTAAAGCTTATTCCAAACTCTACAAAATGGAATTGCAGTAGGCTCTGCCCACGAACGGTTGGTTTCAATTTCGCTGTCACAATCACAAATGTCGTGATTTTTGGCTTGTACCTGTAGTAGGCATAGATTTAAGAATGTAATGATAGTAGGCCAAGCCAGGATACTGATAATAAAACGTCATTCATATTCAACTACTCATCGGAACAAGACGTTTTATTTGGAGCTGCTACATTGGCGACGAGTGGTGAAACGTTACCCGTACGTGTTTGAAGTTCATCAAATAAGACGAGGGCGAAGGTTAGAGCAGCAAGGCATCACAAGTCGATTGGACGGAAATTTTCTTCAAGTTGTGAAAATTGTTTGAAACGTCAACATGTCCATGGTAACGAATATTTTTTTTCTTAGTAACAGTTGTTTGAGTTCCACTAGTATAACTTGTACATTCATTTTGGAAAATGTGAAGTTTTAAATCTTTCAATGTTGAAAACAGAACCTAAATGAAGGGAATTATGGAAAAATATCCAGGCCATTTAGGTAGATAAATGTAGGGAATAATAATTCCAGGCCATTTGTCTGAAAGTCTACTGAGGTGAGGCAATTGAAGTGTCTCTAAATGAAGGGAATACAAGTTCCAGGCCATTTAGAGAGTCAAATGAAGGGAACAAAGATTCCAGGCAATTTGACTGATCCCATACAAGGGAAAAGCGAAGGGAACTTCGGGTTCCAGTCCGCTATGTAAATTTATTTTAAAATTAAATTATAATTCTTATATTAATTGAAAATAGATAAAGCTAGTGAAAAGTCAATCAATGAAATCGTGTGTGGTTTAATGCGAACAAATATTCAGAAAATTTTAATTACAGCTGAATTTCAATATACTGCCATTCCACGAGTCTGGCGACGGTCCTACATCTGTGCGATGGGAAGAATGGAAAGGACAATTTTTATCATACCTTGCGCTAAAAGGTGTTAATGACCACGATGAGCTATACAATGCGTTGATGTGTTTCGGTGGACCGGACGTTCGGAAAATTGCGAACAAATCTGGAGGTATCTGGAAGCATTTTGGACAATCGTTACCGGGCGGCAATGGAGATATTGGATAATTATTTCTCACCTCGGAGGTCACTCCGATACGAGAGATACAAGTTCCATCAGCTCAAGTTTAATCCCAAGGAAAAATTGGATAAATTTGTTCTACGCCTCAAAACTCAAGCAACAGCATGTAACTTCGAAGATCAAGTCAATGAAATGATAATGGATCAAATAGTGTATGCGACCGAAAACGATGATAAACTAAGGGCCAAATATTTAGAAGCTGATGTTACTCTTGAAGAAATGTTGAAAATTGGGCGAACTCATGAATCAGTTTCCGCACAAGTGCAAGAATTTCGTTCAAGGTCCTGTCAGCTTTCGGATTTCAACAATTTGCTGAATTAAGAATCTCGAATCGCCAACAAATCGTTTTCAGGGTAAAAATTCGAATAGATAGCACAAATTCGTAAGAGAAGTGGATAATGTTACTAACACAGTAGAAATTCGCGAATTGTTTCATCTGGACGGTAAACGCACAGTGATAGTTGGTGGTGTAAATCTTCGGTTTGTGGTAGATACTGGTGCTGATGAAGACGTCTTTAGTACAATGGATTGGAAGACTCTGAAGAAGGTGGGATTTAAGGCATTCGACGTACGAAAGGGCAGCAGTAAAATTTTTCGAGGATATGGATCGAACCGTCCGTTGACAGTGCTTGGAGTAATCGATGTGGAAATCGTCATTGGAGACCGGACCTGCAACACAACGTTCTTTGTAATCGAAAATGGGAAGTGTTCCTTGCTGTCTGGAAATTCAGCAGAAAAATTAGGAGTACGTGAAAGACTGCACAGGATGTATACTGGTATCGGAGGCAAATGTTGAACCAATGACAAGGACAGTTTTGCCAGAAGGTCCTTGGCGTAAATTGGCATTGGATTTCACTGAAGTAGCAAATGGAGTCCATCTATTCGTTGTTGTTGACTTAAGGGTGATACGGTCAAAATTTGGTCAAGGGAAAACGCGTGTAAATCGGTGAAATCGTTTATTTAAAAAATCAAATTAAATTTCTTTTTCCAGTTCAATTAGTATAAAATTCAGGAAAAATATTCAGTTAGGCTTCCGCTTTTCCAAATCCGAATTGCCGGGCCTTACGCTTGACCCCTGCCATCAGATTTTGTACAGCCACCTTGTCCACCTTCTTCGCCGCAGAAAGCCAGTTTGCCTTGAACTGCTGCTCGCCCTTAGTAGTTTTTTTGGTCTTCTTTAGGTTCCGCTTGACAATAGCCCAGTATTTCTCAATTGGGCGGAGCTCTGGCGTGTTGGGAGGGTTCTTGTCCTTGGGAACCACCTGCACGTTGTTGGCGGCGTACCACTCCATGGCCTTTTTACCGTAATGGCAAGATGCCAAATCCGGCCAAAACAGTACGGAACAACCGTGTTTCTTCAGGAAAGGCAGCAGACGTTTATTCAAAAACTCTTTCACGTAAATTTCTTGGTTGACAGTCCCGGAAGCTATGAAAATGCTGCTTTTCAAGCCACAGGTACAGATGGCTTGCCAAACCAGATATTTCTTTGCGAACTTTGACAGTTTCATGTGCTTGAAAACATCTGCTACCTTTCCCCTTCCTTTTGCCGTATAAAACTCCTGTCCCGGAAGCTGCTTGTAGTCGGCTTTGACGTAGGTTTCGTCGTCCATTACCACGCAGTCAAACTTCGTCAGCATCGTCGTGTACAGCCTCCGGGATCGCGCTTTGGCCGTCGTATTTTGTTTATCATCGCGATTTGGAGTCACTACCTTCTTGTAAGTCGATAGTCCGGCTCGTTTTTTGGCTCGATGCACGGTTGTAGACGATACACCCAGCTTATTTGCGGCATCTCAGAGAGAGAGGTTAGGGTTTCGCTTGAAACTACCGGCAACTCTCTTTGTCGTCTCAGTGGCTTCCGGTTTTCGATTTCCCCCCGATCTAGACTTCCTGGCTGTCGACAAACGTTCCCCAAACACTTTAATTACATTTGTAACGGTTGATTTGCCAACTTTGCGTGCGAGTAGCTCGGATTTTCGCGATGCGCGAGCAAAATTTTGATACGCTGCTCTTCTTGCTTGGACGGCATTTTGACAACTGAAGAGTGAATTCCAAAATCAAAATAGGAGCAACATTCTACACACACACACACCTTCAAAATGAGGGGTGTTCAGGTTTTTTAAATGCAAAATTGAAAGAAATACGTCAAGTTGATATTGACCAAATTTTGACCGTATCACCCTTTATTATTATAAATGAAGATTTATCATGATTAGTATATCAGTGTTGTAATATTGTAAATTATTGTGAAAAATCCCGGGTAATAATTCTGGTTGAATAGTTGTGCTGCTGTAGCGTCCGCTAGCGGTTTGTGCTGGTTGGTTTTTCTATTCGCGTGTTTCGGTGCTATGCCTCCACTTCCGGAAGATAAGTTTACCGTGTCTTTTTACGATTTTGGTGTTGGCGTTCTGCCCTCCGGACAATAGCCGGGAATACTAGCTTTGTAGGTTACAATATTCAAGAAGAGATACGAAAAACTTCGAAAAGTGATAGAGAAAGAGGAAGAAGATTATTTCACTAAAGATGCCAATTATTCAACAGGACTCAACGAGAATCGAGATGACAAAGATTCAGCAGCAAGGACACAATACATAAGCGGTGAGATCTAACTGATTATAACTAGATATAAAAATATGAAATGCATACTACTAAAAACGTGCCATCTACAAAGCAGGAATTGCTTTGATGATGGAAGTGTACACCCGAACAAACATTGAATGTTGAATAAGAACTTATTCAGGCAAAAATAAACTTCTTCAGCTAAAAAATGGCCTGTTCAGCTGTTAATCAACTCAAATTGTTTGTTGGGCATGCAGTACTAATATACATTTTATATCGGTACTACGTGTATGCGGGGCTTGTTGTAAGTGAAAGTAACCTCGGAATGGACGTGAGTGACCAGGCATTCTGAAATGGGTTACTGAATCTTAACAGAGCTATCACCTTTCAACTTCCGGGCTAAAATTGTTTGCAATGGGATCAGTATAAGATAATAATAGATTATATTGCAAACATTTTTCTTCCAAAAAAGCACTGCCGGAAAGTGGAAGTTGGATTGTATATACATTGGCACAATCAAGTAATTGTAAACAAATAATGAGAATATCACGAACGTGTTCTCATTTCAAGACCAACAATTGAAATGGCCTCAACTCTATTTTGTAAACAAACCTTGTAAGGCCATTTTCTCGCAAACCTAAACCACAATCGGGTAGAGGAAAATTTACCCTACCCGTTCATTATGTTGGTTTCCCTTGGCGGACTTCGGTTCGCGAGAAAATGGCCTTTAC